TTGGGCACGAAATAAGCTGCGTTCTTCGTTTACTGCTCCGTTTATTCACCTGTGTTCCCCCGGAACAGCGCTAGTCAGCAACGGCCACCATGGTGTTCTTGGCGTCCATTGCCTAAAACGAATTTATAAATGCTGTTAAGTCTCTGCAGTTATTTGAGCCAATGCATATTTTTACACTGCTCTTTAACAACTTATTTTTTTTTTAAAAAGGATTCCATGTCCTACTTTCACGTCATACTTTTTCTCTGTTAAATCATCCAAACACTGAATCTAAGTGTATGTGTATTTCAAATATGTTATTTCCACAATCCAGTGTTATGTACTGTGGAATAGAGGGGAGGAAAAAAAAAAAGCCGTGTAGAATTGTGGAATTACAATGATAAAAGTGTGGGAAGATTTGTGCAAGGAGTATTTTCGTGAGGTGAAAATGTGCTTGGATATTATGTATGGCATATCCAGACTGAATAAATAGGGTTATTTAGCTTTCATAAGTCATGCTAATGATACTCAATTATGCTTGAAGAACTAAACCCAAGAGGAAATTTTATTATGGATTTTTGTTAGTTTTGCCTACAGCTATATTGTAAAATTTTCTTGAAGAAAAATTTTGCATTAACATCTTACCACTAACTGGTTTTGTAGGTCTGCAAACTCAGGAAATTTTCAGTATACTTAATGTAAATGTTTTGTATTTAAAACCAGAGAATACAAATCTGTTAAACCAAAAAAGGGAATTGTTCTTTCATGTTTTCACATAGCACAGACTCGCAGAAGGTAATCTAGTCAATGACTACTTAAGCTGAATTTCCATGTGGTATGTGTTTTCCTATGGCAGTGGTGCATAAGAACCACAGATATTTGTGATAAGAGGTAGAAGTTCTCCAAAGAAAAGTTCTGAAGATTAAAAAAAAACTCACTGAATGTTAAGCTTTTCTTGCTCTTTCTCCTGCACTCCAGCTCTGTATATTTGCTGTTCAGTTCCATATGCTTGAGAAGCGTTGAGCTAAAAATACTTACATTTTTGGGTATTTGTTCATACTGCTGGAGCTTCTGTCCAGTCCGAATTAAAGACAGAACAAGTAACACTTTCCCCCATTTTTCCTATGCAAGTTTTTCTTGTGTAAACTCCCTTACGTGACAATTTGTGAAGGCTGGATCCCATTAAGGGAAACTGATTTTGGAGCTGGTCTTCCTTAGATTTACTTCTCTGGAGCAAAGTCCTTTCGCCCCCCATTACTGTAATAGAGTTTCTAACTGGTCTAATGTCTCGTGGCCAAACTACAGGTCCCTTGTTTTGCACAGAGGGTGTTGACATGTTTAAAAACAAAACATGTTCTGTCATTTTTATGGAATAATACACAGCATGCATATATTGGGAACTCCAGAGAGTGCGTGACAGATATTTTTATTGACTGTGGGAATGGTTGCTCCCAAAGCTCGTAAGATTTTTTGAACTAGAGAAGACAAGCTACAATGTGCTCTGTCAAAATAATAATAATAATAAATGTATTCAAGTGATTCTTATGCAAGGATGCAAAAAAAATATTGCTGCTCTTTGTCATGATTTAGGGTCTTTTTAAATTGTTGCTGCATTAAAATAAAATCACACAACAAACACTAACAGATGGAGTTTTTTGTGTATATTGGATACCTGTGGAAGACCTCTTTTGTTGGTGTTGGTTATTTGGAGTATGCAGAGGACTATTAGAAGTTTGAGGAGGTCTTATTTGTTTAAAGGAATCTTAAATGATTGCATATAGCAATAAAACTTCAGAATGTATGCATAGTACTACTCCTTAGTATAGTGTGAAAATCTGTGTGTTTGAATGCCTTCCAAATGGAGATTATCAAAAGGTTTACATTAATCCCTGGGAGGGAAGCAGGCTGTGATCTCTTATTGATGTAGGTGGGCAGCTGTAAATTTAGAAATTTTCCCTCATATTAACTATAGCTGTCTGGATCAAACCATCAAACCTTGTGCAGTAGTCTTGTGGCTGCTACATCAGCCATAGGGTTTATTAATTCCATTATTTTTGTGCAGATTTATGCCTCAATAGGTGTAGAGGAGCTATTGGTACACTGCTGTTTGTTTATGTGACTCCCATGCTGCCATGGGAAATGAGTGCAAGTTGGAGGTGAACTGTAAGCATAACAAATGCTTGATATTCCCTTTGTTCCTGCTTCAACAACTGCTTCCCAAATGGGTAGCACCGCAAGGCTAGCACAAGTGTAAATGTAGGAAGGTCTAAATGCCAGCAGGTTGGCCAAGAAAGAGGCACAGGTTTTCTGAGTGAAAATAAGTTATAATAAAGGTTGTTTTTAAAATGCTGGTAATTAATAACCTTGAGAGTCTTGCAGAACACTAGCCTTAGTCTGCTTGCTGGTTATAACTAAATTGATTTTTTTTCTTCTGAAGGAAATTCGACATAAATCCAGTGACTACCCTCACAAAGTTGCAAAATACCCAGAAAACAGAAATCGAAACCGATACAGAGATGTTAGTCCGTGTAAGTGTGTCTTGTTTTGTTTTATCCTGTTCACTTCTAAATGCCATAGCTGGTTGTATAGCTAATAGATCATAATCCTTGTAAACTGTGTTTTTCTGTAGGTATATGTCCTTCGATAAGTGTTTTCTATTATACAGTTTTTTTTTTTTTTATGAAAGTGAGAAAAATCTGCTGTTTAAAACCCATTGTGATTGGTGAATTAGGGCTAACTGTAAATATGAGTTGCTAGTATACACATAAATATACATATAAAATAAATACAATTTAAAATATGCTT